ATTGGAGGTCATCCAAGTGTCCTAGAGTGGTTTCCCATTACTCATTACACGTCAAATTAAATCAACTAGTAAGAGGAGTAGAATCCCAACAGTTCGACTTGCGAGCTCTCTTTATTATCATTATTTTTCTTTTCTTCTTCTTTTTTTTCTTTCCTCATTTTTTTTTCGGTCAAACACAGTAAATGCAACTCAATCATACCTCATTTCATACCCAATCATCCAATAAATAACTTCGTTATCCCCATGCATCCCAAATATCAGTCAACTCTCAAAATAAATAAGATAAACCGGTTGACAAGAAAAAGGCTTAAGGCTCAAACGGGCTACTAGTGGAAAATATTTTTAAGGACATAGAAAAAGGCCAAACGAGCTAAATTCAAGAACCGCCTAAATCATTTTTAAAGCTCAAAATCATCAATGCATTTTTTCAAGCGTAGAATCAATGCAAATTCTAATAACTCGAGTATTCAATTGACACTCACAGACAAAGAATAAAGGCTCAAATCTCTCTAGGCTCAATATATCGCTAATTCAAGGCTCACAAGCATTTTCATCTAGACATGACTTTTACAATCCCATCACAATTCCTCAATCATATCAAATAACCATTCACTATTCAAGTTTTATCCATCATTCAGCCAAAGCAAAAGAAATACACAAGGAATCGACTCAAGCATATTCTTATTATATCCTACTCAAGCAAGTAAACGTGCATCCTAAAAAATAAAATAGCATAAAAAAATCATAAAAAAAATTAAAACTAATGCAAGCAACTATATGATATGCAATAAAGCGATAAAAACTCAAGATATACAACATCTCTTTCCCCCAAACTTATTCTTTGGAAAAGAATTAAGTTTGAAGAAAATAAGCGGCATATCTCAAGCAACTAACCGATAAGTCGAGCGAGCTCCACCGTAAGCAATCCTTGCACCCATGAGCACGATCATCTCCTCCATGTTTCGCTCGAACACTCGATCACCACCATTTTTTATTTTTTTATTTTTTCACTTTTTTTTTTCTTTTTCCAGATTTTTTTTTAAATAAATAATAATAATAATAATAATAATAATAATAGTAAATAAAAAAAAACGAAAATAAAATAAAAAAATAAAAATAAAAGCCATAAACGATGGGTTGCCTCCCAACAAGCGCTTAATTTAACGTCTTTAGCTAGACGTCTTTCGAGCTCTCAATAAGGATCATTCCCATTCATCCCAATCTCCTCCTTGATCTTCTTATGGCGTCGGCTACCGTCTTTTGGCTCTTGAATCTTCCATCCCCGAGCAAGTGTAAAAATTCGGTATTCATCATAAGCTCGAAATGTGATCTCACCAAGCTCCATGTCAATAAGTACCCGTCCGGTGGCTAGGAATGGTCTTCCTAAAATCAACGGTGTATCACCGTTATCCTTCATGTCTACCACCACAAAATCTGTCGGAAACTTAATTCCATC